ATGTTTCTGCTACATATTTTAATGATATTTCATAAATATTCCTACTGAAATGTATTTGATACATATCTTTAGATACGTTTCGTAACAATCGTATCTGTCACGTATATGAAACGTAACGGTAAAATGTTTCATTTAATTCATTGTACGTTAAAATTGAAATGTTTCACAGATGTTTCTTGTTTAGTGTTAACACGCCATCTGAACCTTAATGTTTAAAAGTTGTGTCTGCTGTGATTTTAAAGTGTTAATTTTAGGATTTTAGGAAGGAATTAGGGATTAATAAGGATGTGCTCATACACGAAACGATCGTTGTACCTACATCAATTACATTTTTTCATCATAAAAATCTTTGATTTACTGCTTTAATTTAGGTTGGAGGAACTTGGCATCTCTTCTTCGAAAAATACGGACCATATACACTAAATTCAGCAACGCAGCACCAAACTGTCACACGAACGCTGTGGTGGTTGTTGGTAAAATTCCTGAGCATGTTTTACTGCTCAGTAGTCGAAATATAGTTTATTTACAGTACCTGACAAGTGTACTTATCCTTGAATAACCATACTTTAGTGTATGTGTAGATGTTTGTGCAGCATTCTTCTTATACTATAATCAGATAATCCTAGAACTGCTGCATGAATGAGTGCTAAACACTTTATGAATTGTTGGATGGACGCTCTTACACTCGCCATATTTTTCGGTGTTGTTACGGTTCGTCGACCACGAAGTTTTTTTCACACCAGAACCTGTTACTCTCAGGTTTGTGGTGGCAGGAAAACAAAAAAATTAATTTTCGTTTTTTGCCTATAACTCCTTTATTTTTCATTTTTTCTATTAATGTAATAACTATTAATGTTGGGTATAGGACATATAAAAGATGTAAAATGAGACGCCGAAGAGGACTAAGTAATAAAATATGGGGGGTGCCATTTAAAAAAATGAAGTTATGGTACTTCAAAATTTTGAAAAGTTAACGTTCCATAGTAAAGTGGCCAAACGATCTAGACAGACGTTCTCGGCACCAATACATACTCCATCATGTTGCTTAACCATGTTCTGAATCCTAAATTGATATCTCAAAAACCGAGTTTTCTCTGATTTTTTGAACAAATGTCTGCTGGTGCAGATTTTGTCTAGAAAAATTCGAATAACTCGAGATCGGCTGAATCAAATTGCAAAAAGTAAAGTTATTCATAAGCCTTGAAAACAGACAAATCCAAACTTATAAAATTATACAGGTTGTTCGATTTAAAAAAATAAACTAGGTGGCGACTTCCGGTATAAACGGAAGTGTTAGAAATCTGAAAATATTAGTAGTCGAAGAGAACGCAATTGATAATACTTAAAACTGAATTTTCAAATTTTTATTTTGTCTATAACCTCAGAAACGTCTAATGACCGGTCTCGCGGAGACAACCTATATATACAGTGAGATAATTGAGCGTTTACAAAACAAGAAAAAAGTATACAAATGATAAGGAATCGTTAATTCTTGTTAATTTGCGCCTGGTTCTAAGCTCACGTTGATTCTTTTAAGGCGAGCTACTCACAATGCGGTATTTTGCGAGTAACTTAAAACAATCTTGGGAAGTTAATTATAAAAAATATGTTGACGTGCTCCTTCCAAGAAGATACCTTCCACTAAAGAACGAAACTAAATCAAAAATAAAACATATACTATTATTAAATACAAATTTGTTACATTTATGAAACATGTAGATCAATTTAAAGCCTTTTTCTTCTTCTTGACGAAAATCCTTGGACTAGTGTTACCCATTGTTTGTTGTATCTTAGAATGAGTATGTCCAACACTCCTTTCACTGCTTAGAATCTCCATTCCCTCAGCTCATTTGACATACCGCGTTAAAATCCACTCAGTCGTTTTCGACATAACTGCATCCTACTAAATCGCGATTTTCTTGGTTGATTTATAATTAAACACATTGAAAACACATGCATATAGTCTGCATAATCTGTTGAATCCTTGCCCTTCTTCTTGGTTTCAAAAATAACGCAAATGTCTATTTTATCTTTTTTAAGGGGGCATTCCGGTCTAGAATCTCGATTTTTTAAGTATCTTTATTAATTTTTTTACCCAAACTGTATACAGTTATTTATACGTTGTATCTTCTACATATTAGTACACATTTAGAGCATCTATAAGGTGTGCTTTTATTTCATTATGTTTCAAAACATAATGAGTTCAGCTGTTTTCGATAATAAATAAATAAATAAATACGCAGTCATGGCTAATTTGGGTGTCAGTGCGGTGGACTCGCTTCAGAGTAAATTTCAAAATACTGTGTCATCCTTTGAGGCAAAACTTGAGGCGGCTATGAGCAGCGTAAAAGAGAAGGGTTTGACTCCCACGGTTGAGGACCTAGCTAAAGAATTTTATGAATTTAGAAATCACATATTAAAATGTTTAAGTGACATGAAAAATTTTATAAATCATCTCGAAGACCGAACTGATAATTTTTAGAATTACTCAAGACGGTCTCCTTATTTATGGAATAAATGAAGAGGAAGGAGAAGATACTGATGACGTTGTTGTTCAGTTTATCGAGGGACACCTAAAGATTCCGGAATTTTTCTTCAAGCTTGAGTTCCTTGACTGTTCTCATCGAATTGGTCCTAAAAGGAAAATCAAAGCGGATACGCTTTCCCGACCTCGCCCTATAATAATTAAATTTGTTTCTTATAGAGTCAGGATGACAATTTGGAATAACAAGAGACTGCTTAAAGGTACAAAATTTCTGATAACCGAGTCCCTGACGAAAAAGAGAATAAAGTTCTTTGCGACTGTGAAAAAGGCAGTTGGTTTCAGGAATTGTTGGACCTCGGATGGTGGAATTTTTGTTGCCCTTCCTAACAATAGGGTCAAGAAGATCTCTTCCTACGAAGACTTTGCCGATGCGGCTGTAGAGAAGACTGTAAGAATCTGAGCGTATCTTACACAATTACAGTCATCTTAGTGAAACCTCTCTATTAGCAATACATTTCCCAAAAGGTGATAGGGTAAACGCACCAGTGTTTGACCTGTTAAGGATTTTTTAATGTCAGTGTTTGACTGAGTCATATTATTTTTCTGGTAGATCTTTCTGCCTTTACATAAAATGATCAAAATATGATCAAATGCACATCTGATTCATTTAAAGTTACTTACCCTACATATAAAATATAACATCATGAAGTAATACTTTTTAAAAATTAAAAAGGAAAATAGTATTTCGCATTTAGCACTTTGATTACATTACTTGACCAATAATATCCAGTCTTTGACCTTAAAACCGTCAATGTATGACCGATTCTTAATATAATATTCATTTTCATTATTTTTCCATACAATTTTGTTCACAAAAATTTTGACTCTTTAAGAACATCTTTTAAAACAGGAGCAAAATGTTCGTAACTTAACTTTTTACCCAAATTTTGTGAGGGCCATTTTAATAAGTGTTAAACTTAGTTAGTGTTAACTAAGTTTAACTAAGTTTAACACTTAATAAAATGGCCGTTTAAGTGCGCACTTAACTTTAGATTAATTTTTGTTTTGAAAACTGTGTGTTCGCTGCATCGCCTCACTCATTAGCCTTCAGCTTTTTGCATTTTAACACGCCTTCAGCCATTTCTTGTTGAGAGTAGGACGATGAAGTGATAATTACAGTTTTTACATTTTTTTTTTTTTTTAAATCGTTCGATGTTCCAATCACTTTTTGTTACTTTTCATTCTCAATCTTTTTCCACATGATGCACAAGTATTATCCGATCCTTTGATCATTTCTCGTTGATTGACGTTGTACCTGAAGACGCTCTAAAAAAGCGAAACAATTGTTGTACATAACTTCTGAAGAAATATACATCATCATTTTGTTATCTACATAAGATTTCATTCCTTATAATCATCACACAATGAACCAGGAGTATCTCATCGCTAAAGTTAAACATCTTGGCTGCTTTTTCATAAGATAAATTTCCCCCTACTTCTTGCATCGAGATCTTATGAAGATCTTCTTCACTATTTTTAAACTTAGGCTTTGTTGTCATATTGGTACTGAAAAAATGTTAACCTGATTCATATTTGCTAAATTTTCCATATAGATTTTCCATGTTTTGATAATTAACCACTATAAGAGTCAGTTTGGTCAAACACTAATTTTCAATTAAATTTAGAACTACCAGTTATTAACCGGTTTTATTTCAATAAATAATTAATTAAAGCGGTATTTTTTAATATAACCAATAGAAAACATTATTAGATCACTCTCAAACAAAAAAAAAACATCATAGTTTGGGCGAATTTCTTAACATAAAAATTACGCTTTTAACACGATGCTAATAGGCTGGCAGTTAGCGCGAAATTAAACAACAAAAACTCAAGAACGGTATGGTCGTGGACTTTTTGCGTACTAGGGGGTAGAGAGGAGACTGGTGGCTATTTATGGCTATATTTATATTTTTTTAGATATTCCTTGGATCCTTATTTTTTAAATTTTTTTACAAAAACGGTCAAACACGGACCAGGGGTCAATTACTGGTGTTTTACCCTATGATTTAGTTTAACTCTGATAGAATTCAAAAGTCTTTTATTTGAATATGTGTGGGATTCCTTTATTTACGATATTACCTTAAAATAACCTATATATTACACCTTTATCTAACCTCTATGTTACAACCGAATTAAATAAATTATATAAATAAATTTATACAGTTTCAAAATTAAATACATTAGTTGATTCAAAAGAAAGATAACAAATGTAAATCACAAAGAAATACAATAATAAATAAAAAATAATTTTTCGTCTAATAAGACTTGAATAAGACTAGAGACTTAATTGCTAGTAATACTTACAATTAGTGTTACAATATAAAATCGAATGTATAGGTACTTTAGAACTTTTTTATATAAAATAATTAATAATTATAAATAATAATAATAATATCTTTCAGGATATGCAAATCCTTTAAAATGAGCACAAACATAAATAGTTCAGTTTCTTATTTTCCATCATGTCCAATCGTAAAAATAAACAATTAAATGTTTGTCAATAAAATTATAATTAACCGATATACTTGAATGTAAAAGCCGAACGTAAATTTACATTGTTTGTTAATTTGCAGCTGTTTCAAAATTGAGTATCTCACATGTAAATAAATATTATTATCTTACCTGTACTCAACAGATAATTAGTTTTTCTATTTGGGGTTTAAATTTGTTGATTTACTTTTGAATCACATTTACAAATATTTTATGCAATAAATAACTTAAAATTACAATATTGTAAACGATATATCGTTCACGTAATATTACAGTTGAAGTCAGTTCCACTTTTATAACAAGATCTTTCTAAATTAATATTGGAAACTTGGATTGGTATTACTTGGATTATCAAGTTGACTGTTACTGTTATTATTGTTGTTACTTTCTTGTAAAACCATCGCACCGATCGTTTTTATAACAAATCCATTTTGGATGGGTTCCAAATCAGGTAGTTTCTTCTTGTACAATTTTCTCGCAATAAATCCCAAAAGTACCATTTCGGCTAACATTAACGTGTTATGAATCACTAAAAAAGAATTTGAGGTTGATTAAATATGAAATGTATGCATATTCCAAAATCGCAAATAAATTGATAGGCATGCTACTCTTAATGTAGGATTAAAAAATCGAAGATAATAATTATTAGTTTAGTTTCAGAAAATTACAAATATTCCGAAACATTTTTAAACTTTCTACAAGTATTGAAGAACACGCTTGTTATTGATGTTTGTAAAGCACTATTGGAATATATAAAGGTGTTCAAAAGATTCCCATACCTTTTTTTTAGATTAATAACGTTGGCATTGTGATTTTATGTTTATCCTGATCGTTTCATTGAATTCCTCATGCCATTTCGTCGCTAAATATTGATTCAATTTTTTTCAAATTTTCTATCATTGCTCGTATAAACGACATAATGACAACAAATCTTTTTTAAGTCCTCAAACTTTTCTTCCTTTGGCTTCTTGAGTACAAGTCAAATATCGCAAAAGATTTTATGCAAAATTTTTTAAAATTAAGAGCAGAACACCGGAACAATTTATATAGATTTTTGGAATATGTTAAAGAACACTTAATATTCCGTACAATTTCCGTACATCGTTGGCGTTATTGGCGGATTACACGGTAATAACCCGGTCCAAACTGGAATTTTCGTTATTAAAGCTTGTAATTTTGCAAACATCAGCACCATTTGAAGAACAAAAAATTTTCCTTGCATATTATAATCGACCAAACGATTTTTTAAGAGATTTATAGTAATCGTCATGCTCCAAATTCCGATTAATATCGACAATACAATAATTGGTTGAAAGTACATGTAATTAACTTGATAAAGACTCTAAAAAGAGAAGCTTATTTTAATCGAAAAGTTGAAGTGTTTCTCTAACCTCTCTTTCTGCCCATAAAACTAATAAAGTGGCATAAACGAGTCCTTGTACCATTGGTAGTTGCAAAACAAGTAACCTCAAGTACGTTATGCGGTTTCTAAACGATAAAAGAAATTGAGAAATTAAAAAATTTTGAAATCAACTTATTAAAATGGGCGATGGTGTGACTAATTACTTATTTATAGATATCGAAGGTAGAAATAAGCAACAACAGCAACACGGGCCGACTTTTAAGTTTAATTCGTCCGGTTTCGTTCGATTAATCATTTCAGCTTCGCCACCGCAATAAGCCACGAAAAGACAAAATAGTTGATACATTCCCACCATAAAAGTTCCTTGGGTCATCGCTTCCGCAAGTAAATGGGCTCTAGGTACTAATATTGCGCAGAACGTTGATAAAGCAACGACCTAAAAAAATCATAATAACAATTTGCAATTAATAATCATATATAGCGTTTTGGTTAATCGACAGTAAAACGCAATAAAATTTTAATTATCTATAATCTTGAGATATTCGCAACGTTTTATAGTTATAACACGATTGGAAAGTTAGTTTTGCTTAGGACAATACACATTCTTTACTTAATCTTACCGGATAGACGCCGATGACGAAGGTCGAATGCGTTTTAACTCTTGACGAAGAATGTTCTATGATGTATTTTAAGGTGTCTATGAAGGTATAAAGAATTAACAAAACGGCCAAACCTCCGATGAAAAGCAACGTGATACCATAAACGTTGATTGCTACACAAAAATAATATAAAAATAAATAGTTAATTTTTAATCAATTGTTTTAATAGATTTAATATCTCTTAATAATACTAATTTAGCGCTTTTTGTCTTAATAAAAATATGAACTCGATTCATTTTTAAGGCTTTTTTTGTGTCAGCCTTCTCGTCGAGAGTACACCAACAAAATTAAGGAACTTCCTATCTCTATTTTATTAATGTCGGAGATCTATTTATGAGAAATTCTGGATAATTGAAAAATATATAATTATTAACTAATTTTATATTATACTAAATTTAGAGGTTATTATAAATTATTAAGGCAGTTAGAGGATGCCACAAGTCAGATGTTGACTTGTAACAGAGAATGGATTCACGTTTCTGGGATATGTAGATGACCTGGTAATCACAATCCGACGTAAATATGATTCAACTATTTCTTTTATTTATTTATGTACATAGGACACAGCACAGGACGAACCCAATAAAAGCTGTCACTGAAAAGAATAAGAACAAAACAAAATAGTGAACAGTAGAAAAGAAAATAAAATAAACGATCAAAAATTCAGATTGAAATTAAGGAAACATTCTATAAACAAGTAAAAAATAACAACAATAAGGAATTGTTGAAAAAGAGAAAATCATACCTCAGCGTTCTGGGCGCAACATGCAAATTCACTAGAGACGTAATCGAAGTCGAATTATAGATATTATGAATTAATTTATAGAATAGCAATACATCAGTAGCAAAACGTCGCTGAGTCAGTCGCAGAAACCGAAAGGATTGGCACGCCTAGTCGTAGTCAACATAGGTGATATGAGACTTCCGACATAAAAATCGAAGGAATCACTTTTGGACTAGTTCTAATCTATTCACGTACATGTCATATTTAGGATTCCAGACAACAGAACAATAATTTAAAACGCTGAATACGTATGCAAAATAGAGTTTTTATGGGACTGATATCAGTGAAATCAGTCGCTGATCTCATGACAAGTCCAAGCACGCGAGAAGCCTTGTTGACCACCGAGTCGACGTGCTCATTAAATAAAAGTTTACTATCAAAGGTTACCCTTAGATCTTTTATAGACGTGACTCTCTGCAACAATTCCCTTCCAATAAAGTAATCAAAACGTATGGGAATATAAAAAAATCACAACATTTGCATAAAACGATGACTAATTTATTATAAAGAAATTTCGGTGCTACAGATCTGTTTCGGTTAACTATGTAACCGTCTTCAGGCACGACGACGTCGTATTTAGTACTTCAATAAAATTCAGTCTGCAGACTGAATCCCTTTTTATTGAAGTACTAAATACGACGTCGTGCCTGAAGACGGTTACATAGTTAACCGAAACAGATCTGTAGCACCGAAATTTCTTTATAATAAATTAGTCATCGTTTTATGCAAATATTGTGATTTTTTTATATTCTTTTACGAAAAATGATGAACCTGGAGGTAAACATCGCCAAAACGTATGGGGTTAGCTTTCTTTGTAAATGTGATGGTAACACATATACTAAAATTAAGGCTAATAAAATTTGTCAGACAATATTGTGCAAGGTCGAGGAGATCGCGCTGAAGAGCAGAACAATACTTAGGGCCAGATACACGGCAGAAAATTTTTAAATCGTCTGCATGCATTAAACTCTCTAATCCTGACACACTTCGTTCTATCAACCACATAGGAAGCGAGCCACTGCTGTATGTTGCTGGGCAAACCAACTTGTTCTATTTTATTTAATAAAAGCAGATGATCAACCTTATCAAATGCTTTGCTGAAATCAGTGTATACGGAGTCAACCTGCCGGTTATCGTCAAAAGAATGCGAAATATAATTAATGTATTCAAGAAGATTAGTCTCTACTGAGCGACCAACAAAAAAACCATGCTGTCGTTGGTCTAAAACGATTAATACGATTAGTACGTATTCTCGAACCTAAATCGTAGGTTAAGGGGTTAATAATGTAAAAAATTGGTTTATAAATTAAACTCTCGAGAACGTTACCGAATATAGGCAGTAGAGAGATGGGCCTGTAATTTTTGATGGAACTTCTACTGCCAGATTTGAATATAGGTACAACTGTGGCATGCTTCCATATTTGCGGAAAGACGCACTCTCTTAAAGATGTATTGTACAAAATTGTTAAAGGCTCATTAAGAGATTCACAGCAGTTCTTAATGAGAATAGGAGGTACACCGTCTCCGCCGGGCCTCCCAGTAGAGTTAACCGCTCCCGGAGCTCTCAAGACCTCAGCCTGCTCAAACTGTAGGGGAAATACCGAACCGAAATAATAGGAGAACAGATCGCAGATGTGCATACCATCAATAGCAGTAACGCCGTCGAGTGTAACTTCGGTAGGTATGTGACAACCCTCTCGTCTGCTCCTCGCGAATCGCGCTTTGTACGATTACAAAAGCGAACGATGATGTTCTTTGGTCGGCTCTTATCTCCAAATTGCGGCACACGATGAACAGCATCAATATCCTCTGTTTGTAACGCCACTAATACAACACAACTTTTAACAGTCAAAAATGAAAAAATTAGAAGGAAATACACGCTCACGCACATTCGGTATGGCGTGAACTCGAAGTTTTCATCATAACCCAATTAAGACAAAAAGTCATACCACATGCTAGCATCTGGTGCAGGAATAATGGCATCAATCGGAACAAATTATTAATATTCCCATTCACTCGCCGAAGAACAACCGACAGCACCCTCCATGGAAAATAGAGCTATTAACCGCAAAACAGAGGTCAAATACCTAGGGGTAACACAATAATTATAAATTGTGGTAAGAACTGTTGTATTAAACCACGAATGGCTCACTCGGCCTATGTGGCAATAATGAGACCCATGGTCGCCTATGCTTCATTAATACGAGTGCAATGTGATCATGTCCGGCGGCTGCTCTTGAAGCTCAGTCTCACGCTACTTTACTTGTACATACAAAAAGAGACAGCTTTGAGTGCCTAGTCATTGAAGACAAGCTCTTAATGCAAGCTGATGTAGGGTAACCTTACAGGACATCTAAAAATTGTCAGGGATTAAATGCCTAAACCACTCATTCCTAAACCACCTGAGTAAAACTAAAACGGATCTTATAACGACAGAATATAATTTCGACCAGACAAAAGATCATTATTGGAAGCAGGGAAGAATGGACGAAGGGTGAGTTTCAACTCAAAAGAGGAGCCCTGGTTTGAGACACCGATACTTCAAAGGCAGTTGAAAGGGCGTTCTCGCTGAATTGCCTTTAGAACGGCCCGACTGTCCGTAAAGATATTTATTGATCCCCTTTCTGTTCTGAAGGTTCACAACTGTGCAGAAGTTTATGGCAAGAACTTCAGTCTGAAAAATTGTTGTATCCGAACTTAAGAGCATCTTAATGTGGCACTTTGGTCTGCTGAATCCGAAGCCCACTCCAAGTCCAACTGCCTTTGAAGGAAACAATTCAAGAATCGTCATATGGCTTAAAAATCGACGATTTTTTTTTTATCATTGTGATACGACCAAGAAAACACGTTAAAAATAAAAAGAAGGTGCGGAAAAGTGTAGAACATATCGAAAAATCACTCATGTCACGTTTTGTGATATTTTAGTCGTTGTGCGTCGAAACCTTGTCGTCAAATAACTTTATAGTCGGCTGTGAAATTGTACGTCAAACTTGACAAATAGGTTATAAAACCTTGTCGTCAAATAACTTTATAACCTATTTGTCAAGTTTGACGTACAATTTCATAGCCGACTACTTAATTTTCGCTAATTTTAACTAACATTACGAAAAACGTGTCTTTAGTTATTTGAGTTTTTTATGAAAACGACAAAGTTTTTTAAAAAATAATAAGAGTAAGAAAAGTTTTAGAATTAAATTCCACATGAAATGAAGTAGTAATGTATTAAATCTGCCAAAAGATTAAAAAAATCTGTCAAAATTTAGGGTACCATCACCTTTAATCAACCCTTTGAAATGCTTCAATTGAGTTCAATTTGCTACCAATTAATACCCTTGGTACACTCATAACGCATACCAAATTTGGTTTTTCTAGCTTAATGTATTACGAAGATATTGAACTTTTTAAAAATTTAAGAGCCAACTTTGAAGGCCTATAACTCCTCAGGTGTACAACTTAGTATAGAGGTAAGTTACGTTAAATCATCTTAATTTATTGTCCTCTACATGTTCTTATGTGAATCACCCTGTATATTGTTAATTTATTTTTTTATTGTTTATATATTGTTTAAATATATTTATAAATAAACAAATAAAAATATATAAATAAATATATTGTTTATTTCAATATATTTGTCACTTTTCACGTTTTTATTTTTCATAAACTTTTTACATCTCCAATTATTGTTATAAACGTTTTATGGTTTCATTTATGTTATTTCCTTAAGAAACATAATTTTTATACTCTGATGAAGATCGAAAAAAACGATCGAAATATTAATATGAAATAAAATTGTTTCTTTTTATAAAAAAGATCGTCTCACGAATAATTATTTAATATTATAATCCTAAATGACAGCTCAGAGAATTAATTAGGAAACTGTGATTGTAATTAGAGCACGTAATGTAATCACTCATCACCGATTCATATGGCTTTTTATTTGGGATACTACGTATGATACTACATGATCTTGTATGCATATGAACTAATTTGACAAATGAAATGTATTTCATAAAATGTAATATCTTGAATATTCCAGGTAGGAATACATTTTGATGATATAAGTCTTTTGAAGAGAAATCTAACAATGGCAACATTAACATTTTTAAGATAATTTTCAAAACAACTTTTTAAATATGTTGGGGTAAAAGTATTTGTGGAAAAATTTCGTTTCCAAATTTATAAATAGAATACGCGATAATTACTTTCTTGGAATCAGCATATTGTTTCTGAAAACATGTATGACAATATATTTAAATTTATTTATACCTGTATGAACTGGTTGGATGTTTCCAGAAAAATACGAAAATAAAATCTAACATTAATCTAGTGTATTGAAGGAAAATATTCAAAATCTAAATCAACGAATCAAAACTTTTTGGAGGAAATTTAGGTGGAAATTTCAGCATTTTTAGAAATTTATCTGTTCTTGAGTGATTGTGCTTGCACTATAATGTTTTAAAACAAAGGGTACTAAATAAAATATGTATGATGGAATGATATTTGAAGAAACTTTGAAAACAATAATTGGTGTTCATCTGCTGTAGGATAAATAGTAAAATAATCAGAGTATTAGTTTCTGGCAACTATAATTAACAATAATTTTAATTTATTTGTTTTTAATTACAAAAGAGAACCGTGTTTTTTTATTTTTAAATATGCCAAAGTGCCACATAAGTATTTTGGATTAATTAATGTTGAGCAAGTTTTTTCTTTACAGTTTCTTTCGTAAGTAAAAAGTGAAATTGGCTGCTATGTTGCTGCGAAGAAGTGAAAGTTTTTCTTGTGGTTTATCTAAGTGTTCCTTCGTTAAACGAGTTTTCACAAATTTTGATTTTGATGAGAAATACTGGTTTCTTAATCAATTATATAAGTATCGTTTATAACAATAGAAAGGATATTATACATTTCAACGTATAAACAATTATTTTGTAAAAGTAGGTCATTTAAGATCATTAAACAATCATTAATAAAGTTATTAATGTGATTCGTACTGAAGAAAATTGGTTTATATTTGGGTTAAAATCTGTGTTTATTACCGAATGCTATGCATGCCTATTTACAAAGAAATTCTTAATATCCTAGGTGAAAAATGACTAACCAACCTGATAAGTATTCAAATGATGAAGGAACTTCGCTATTGCAAGTTTTATTCATTAAAATCATTTTATTTAAACCGAACTTTCTAATTTTTTCTGTTATTACTTCTATCTCTTCGAAATTATCCATTGTTGAAAATATTCAAGGTTTTAATAAGCATTAAAAAACTCTTATCCACATTAATGCGGGACTAACGATCACTTTTTAAACTTCTCACAACAAAAACTTAAAATTTGATTTGTTTGCGTTGGAATACTTGAAATAGATTTCTCTTTTTTAATCGCGTGTCAACACCTCAACGTTCGTTTTAAGACTGTATAACTTTCGATTTCCGTTATTATTAGTACTTGAGTTGAGTAAACTGAAAGGTTTGTTTTAAGTTTTTAGGAGGTTGTAGTACTTGTTAAGTTACGTTTTAAATCTCTCCAACGTTTCTATTTGAAATATCTTAAGATGATGAAATTGTATTCTCACATGGAAAAAGTATTTTTAAAAACCATTTTTTATCGATATTACCAAGCTTTAAGCAAACCTTATTCTTCATGTAAAATTACGCGGCAAAATTTATTTTTAAAAGTCGCTCAAAGGATGTGGGGTTATAACATACGTGAAAGGTAATACAAATGGTTTCATAATAAAACCGTAAAACATCAATATAACTATTCCCCTCGGGGAAGGGAGTGTCCGTTATAGCAAAAAATCTGTTATGTGAAAAATTTTTAATTTACACTTTAAACTGTTTGAAGAGGTTACTAGAAAAACTGGGTCGTAAACAACCAGCGAACTGCTGCAGAATGGAGGAATACTCCAATTCTTTAAGCGACTCCCTAGTCCTTGCCTATAAAAAGGCCTGTCCCCTCCGCAAGGAGGCAGTATCTGGGCGCGCTACCACCTGGTGGTGCCCGAACTTGCCACACTTAAACGCAAGGCGCGGACAGCCTTTAACAGAGCAAAGGACTCTAGGATCGATTCTGACTGGCAGATCTACAAGAGAAAACTGTCAGCTTTTAAGAACACAATTCATCAAAGGAAGTGAGCAGCATGGAGGGACTTCTGTGAGGAAATTACTTCCTCTAATGAAGTCTCCCGCCTTAAGAAGGTGCTCGCTGCGAGCCCAGAACGACGAATTGGGCTAATGAAGAAGGATGATGGTTCCTATACCGACAACCTTCAAGAAACTTTACAGTTTCTAATGTCTGTTCATTTCTCAGATTCCGACTACACCAACGCTGTCCAACCAGAGACAAGTTACGTACCAACAGTGGATGATTGGGGCTTGCCCAAAATCATCTGTGGGGAGGAAAAAATACGGTGGGCTGTGAACACGTTCTCACCGTTCAAAACTCCAGGACCGGACGGGATTGCACCAGCCCTTCTACAATGTGGACTGGACGACCTGCTACCGCACCTGAAGAGAATTTTCCAGGGTTGCCTGGCGCTTCGCTATGTACCGGGAAGTTGGCGTGATGTCACGGTTAACTTCATACCTAAACCGGGTAAGCAAGACTACTTCCTTCCGAAGTCATATAGACCAATTAGTCTCTCCTCCTTTTTACTGAAATCGTTGGAGAGACTTTGCGACCGTTACATTAGAGATACTTGCCTTTGCACCAGGCCACTAGACTCTAATCAACATGCTTACACTCAGGGGAAATCCACACTAACAGCACTTCACGTGGTGACTAGCTTCGTTGGTGATGCGCTGGACCACAAAGAGTCCGCCCTGGGTGTCTTCATTGACGTGGAAGGCGCTTTTGACAGAACCACCTTCTCCGGAATAAACGAGGCCTTGTTAGAGCATAACGTTCCTCCGACCCTATGTGGTTGGATCGAGAGCACTCTAAGGCATAGAATCGTTAAATTAAGGGCTGGCCACGCCACCCTACAAAGGGCTGTTACCAGAGGCTGTCCGCAAGGGGGGGTTCTTTCTTCACTTCTGTGGAATCTCACCCTGGATAGCCTAATGAAACGCCTTAAACTAGCTGGCTTTAAAACCGTTGGCTACGCAGATGGCCTGGCAATCCTCATTCGAGGGAAGTATGTCAAGGTACTCCTTGAGAGGATGCAGGAAGCACTCAATATAACTGAGAACTGGTGTATTAAACAATCCCTCTCCGTTAACCCCAAGAAGACAGAGATGGTTATTTTTACACGCATGCGCAACATAGGCAACCCAAAACTGCCAATGCTCGCTACTACTCCACTTACACTGTCTACAGAGGTTAAGTACTTGGGCTTAATTTTAGATAGCAAGTTAACGTGGAAATCAAACCTAGATAATACAGTAAAAAAAGCATGCATCGCTTACGGCCAGTGCCGTAGGGCTGTCGGGAGGACGTGGTGGTTGTCCCCCAAGATAGCTCTATGGATTTACACGGCGGTAATCCGACCAATGCTAACTTACGGTGCGGTGGTATGGTGGAACAGAACTTCTAAGTCCACCGCCACCACCGCGCTTAATAGGATACAGAGACTTGCGTGTCTTTTTGTTACAGGTGCGCTGCGATCTACTCCCACCGCGGCCATGGAAGTCATGCTTAACCTGCCACCACTTAATCTACATATTCAGGAGATGGCGTTGATAACCATGAAAAGACTACAATCGGTAGGAATCATGAAGGATGAGGACAGTTCGACGCTCTGGAGGGGGGCTGTACTGGACTCACCCTCACTTGAGTGCAAGACGGACTGCTTGTCAGCAAAATACGTTTTCTCAAGAATTTACCTCACCTATATCAGTCCCACAGTAGTAGATGCGAATAAGACCTTAAAAATCTACACTGATGACTCAAAAAGACGGAACGGGGCGGGAGCGGGGGTCTTTTCCCATCATCCTCGAATACGCCTCTCAGAACCTCTAGGTAAAGGTACCTCCGTCATACAAGCGGAACTGACCGCTATCAAACTTGCTGCTGACTATATTGTTGACTCGAACGAACGCGGTAAGTGTTATATTATTTATACAGACAGTAGGCAATCTGTTTTAGCGTTAAGCAGCGTTAAGATAACGTCTGCACTAATAATGGACTGCCATCTAGCACTGGAAGAAGCCACGAAACACAATCGTGTCACTATCCAATGGATCAAGGGGCACTCCGGCTCTACGGGCAACAAACATGCAGATAGACTGGCAAAGCGTGCTGCCAGCAGAGTTCCCTGTGCACCCGAGCCGATAATTACCCCTTCCTTAGCTACTCATATCAACATGATTAAGCACATTACCCACAAAAAAATCCTAAACGCGTGGAACAAAACCCCGGGCTGCTATCTTGCTAAGGATTTGTTAAAATATCCTTCGAAATCTACAGCTCAGTTTTTCGTAGGGCTTGGAAAAAACGCCCTTCGATTAGCCACAGGTCTCCTCACGGGACACTGTAAGGTAAACAAGCACCTTCACAATATGAAGCTTGCAAATTCCCCTCTCTGTCGAGCCTGTGAACAGGACGACGAGACCGCTAGACACATCTTGTGTGATTGCCCCTCTCTAGCAGACCTCAGAATGAGGAGAGGCATGGCCGACCACAGATGATATCAGGAACTTACCTCTGAGTAATATCCTGGCCTTCGGTAATTCCCTAAGCTGGTTGATGTGAAAAGAGGTTATGTTGGGAGTATGCACAAGGGGTCCAATGGGGCCTAAGTGCGGTGTGCGAGAACGCATGCACTCCCGTTTCCTTACATACAAACTGTTTGAATGAGTAATTGTAATGCACACAAATTCAAAAAGATATCCACACCGTTGCGTTCTTTATTAGTTAGTACTACTTCTAGTTCAATGAAAATATACTATAACTGTCAAAGATACTCGTAATCGTGATTCACGTAATATAGCTTGGTATAACACACAACTTAGGCAACATACAGAAAAACTTACTTTTCTTTGTGAATTATATAGAATCAATAAAAATCCGTACGTACTTATTAAACGAAATACATGTCATAAAGCATACAGATTAGCAGTGAATCACGCTAAACGAAATGCTACTGATAATCATCAATCATAAAAATCAACTGGCAGCTATATGGAAAACAATTAATACATGTAAGTCTTCTGGGAATGCTGATGGAAAGGATAGTAATTTAGACGCGAATGAATTTAATAATTTCTTTTTAAATGTATCGGATAGATTGGCTAATAATTTGGAAGGGAACGAAGATCCGCTGTCGTTTCTCTTCGAACATGTCAATTATACAAATGGGGAATATTTTACCTTCAAAGCTTTCTCACAGGTGTATGTACGGGATTCCTGTGACGCCCAAAAGCCTGGCAAATCGGTTGATGCGTTTGGTTTAAACGCGGTCATGATAAAAAAAGTCAAAAACTGTCTGATCCCAGTACTTACTGCTCTGTTCAATCAGTGTTTAAACACAGGATGTTTTCCTGATAAATTTAAGATTTAAGTGTTTTGCCGCTATTTAAAAAAAGGTGATATTGATGATCCTTCGAACTTTAAACCAAATAGTATATTAAAAGGAAAATGAATATAGATCAACTTCTCGCTTTTTTATTTACTCGATACTAGTTTCGGCTTATAAAGCCATCATCAGTCGAATCTATGATTAAAAAGAATTACAAATTTGTTTTTTCGTTGAACAATTTTTTATTTTTTTTATAAAATACTTACAGTCAAGTTGAAAAATTTGTTTTTATTCTTAGAACGTGAAATGTCATAGAGGTTTTATGAGTTTAGTGTTATAATATAATAACCCTTATATGTAAATAGAATAACTAAAATACAAAACAAAACAGATACACGAAAAACGAAAAACAAGACTTGTTTTTACAGATGTTACGAAATGTTACGAGATGGCACTTTTGTATGGATCGAAACCCATAATTCTATAAATTTAAAATAAAATTAATTTTTATGTTAACTTTAAGTATGTAAATATAGGCATATATTTAAAATCAAGTTGGTCGTCGAGTAGTTTGGTGTTTTTTTTTGATTGCTGTGCCGATATATTTCCATCATTTCCAGAAGGTCCATACGAAAACATTTTCACATTTGTGGATCAATTTTACACCTTCGAAATCCATAGTATGGTTTGTTTCATTAATGTGCTTGTAGATGTTAGAGTTTTCTTTTTTCTCATGTTCTTTTAAGTGCATCTCTAGTTGGCGTCCCATTTGTCCTATATATGAAGATTGACATTGTGTGCAATTGACTTTGTAAATGCCATTTTGTTGAAAAATGTTATTGTTGGTTTTTAGGTGGTGGTTGGATAAGATTTTAAGTATAGAGTTTTTGTTATTAAAAGCTAACGTTATGTTATATTTAGCAAAGATGTCCGTCGCTTGATGAGTAATGGAATTGTA